ACGTGATGAGTTGCACCTTGACGTTACACTATTCATTCCCCATTTCCCCTTTTTTATTTTGGGCTTTTTTTTATAAAAAAAAAAAAAGAAAAATAAGCTAGTATTTGTCCTTTAGCCAGATGCTCAAATTGGAACACGACAGACTTAGAAGAGTAAATCACTTTCTTTGTCATAGCCACTCGCATTTGGGTCCATCATTAATCACTAATGACATTGATTGTTGTTTGGTCCATTCATTCATTCATTTTATTTTTATTTCAAGATTTGATGTATAGCAAGCAAACAAACTAGTGGTAGCAGAGAAGAGAGTGGAATACGAAAATTTCTATGCTTACTTTTGAATTTTTGTTTTTCCGTTTGCACTTACCAATGAATTTTGGTAGTGAGAAAAATAATATATGAAAAGGGCCCTGATAAAATAAGGACTTTTTTTTTTTTTTCGCTAACGGAGTGGGTGTCCGGATCAATCTTTACAGGGCCCGACTAATCCCACTCCGGTCCCGAAGGAGAGGCCCTATTCCTCCGAACACGATAATTACGGGACTCGAACCCTTACGGGCACTAGACACCAGCTCCTAAAGAGACTTGTTGAGATCAATCAAGCTGCCCATGAGGGCAGACAATTTGATAGGAAGCAAGGGTTGAACCCCTGACCTCCTACCCCATCATCAGGAGAGGTGGTGGTAGTGGTTGATAAAATAAAGACTTGGGTGGGTTGCAGTGGTCGGGCAGATTGTTACAAAATTCTCTTGGGCCAAAAGTATGTGATGACCAAAAACTACAAAAGAACCCATTCGCGGTCCAAATAATTAACCAACCGAATAACTTTTAAATTTGTTTGCTACAGTCAAAAATAAAAGAATAAATCTTATATACACTGATGATGTTACGACGACGAGAGTGTAAAGATGAAAGAACAGAATTCGTAGTTAGGGAGGGGTACGATGAACTTCACCGACTATTTTACTTTGGAGTTGCGTATCCGATTCAGTCATGGAAATTAAAGTAAAGATTTTGAACAGAAGAAGAAAAACACACAAAATCATGCAGGCAGCCGCTGCTGCTGTTTTTTTTGCAGCCAACCGCAACGGCAATGATCATCAAAGCACGCGGTTTTTCGAGCTGAGAACAATGAACTTGAAGACCTGTCATCTACCAATCCAATGCATCTAAAAGTCAACAATTAAAATACGCAGGAAAAACTCGGTTTGAACCATTTTCTCAAGTCAATGACTTGTTGTCTCCGTAAAAGCCCGCTCGAGCGACTGAGGTTGGTGCGTTGGATTGAGTGAAATCCAGATAGAAGATCGATCGATGAGGTTTTGCAAGCACCAAGTTTCACTTATCAATTCAATAATAATTATTGTTATTGTCATTTCTTTTTCTCACCGGCCAAACTATTATAAAGTTTGTGCTTGTAGATGGTGAAAATTCGGGAAAGGGTTTGCCTTGAATATGGACAAAAGAGTGTACAATTTGCTGCAAGAATATTTATCACTAAAACACCAACAAAAAGCAAAGAAGCCAAGCCTTCTAGTGAAAGGTGGTTCCTTCCGTGTTGGAAAGTTTTCTCTTTCCGTCCTCACTTAAAGCTATTGTTTGCCCGCTTTAGTTAGGGTTTTCGAGTTTAAACTGTCCTTTTTCGTTTTAGTTGATTTGTTAATCTAATGCAGTTATCAGCTGGAGTAATAAATAAAACCGGTCTACTTTGCTATGATTCCAACCAAGTGGTCCGTACCACAATAAAATTGCACCTAAAAGAAAAGTTAATTTGATAAGAAGATGGAGTACTACTGATGGATGGAGAAGAAGCATGTTTTATTGGGTAAAAACTCTGCTATTTTTTCAGTGTAAAGTTTCAAGATCACAGGAAAAAGGTTGTTTGACTGATCGTATCTTGTTGGATATGTTATACTGCTACTATACCAATTACGAACAATGTTTGAGTTTATTGAAACATTGATTCAATGCATGTTTGAGGTAATCTCTTGGTCTGTTGCGTGTTTGATGTGTTCTCTTCATTACTTGCAGATCTGAAAAAAAAAAAATATGCAGTGAAATTATGTTGTTTATCCCCAGAAAGAAAAAGGATTTTGTTTTGTTATTTTGAATGTACAATTATTACATGTCTCTTGTGCTGTCTACATGTCGTATCGAATCTAGTAGATATCTTTTGCTAGAATTTTTTTTTATGCACATCGTCGAATTCATAAATTTATCCGTTAATGGGCTCAGTTTTACCTTTTGCTTTTAAGTGTTTGTTTTACTTTTTGTTTGAATTGTATTTTTCTGGACTTTTTGTAGAGAAATTACTGTAACGATTATATATATATATACGAGGTAAAAAAATGATTAAAAAATATGTTCACGAAAAACGTAACAATTTTTCTTTGAAAAGAGACAATCCAAACAATCTCTTCGATTTAAGAAAAAATAGAGCGTTTGATTTACACCCCCCCCCCCCGGCCCCCAAAAAAAAAAAGCATTCTTAGAGCCATTTATTTTTATCTCGATCATTTAGGTGCAGATAATTTTAAAATGTTCAGTTTAATATGAATTCAACGACAAGAAAAAACAATCTTATTGCCCTATGGAGTAGCTTTTTTTTCCCCCTAAGGTACTTATGAACTTTCGTGGATTTGACGGTTCATAAAACACGACACATAGCTTTCCTCCGTCTGATTGGTGCCGAAGTAATTTCACGACCATCCTTATTCAGACAGATAATGGTCGAAAGTCGAAACTCTACAAGAAATTCAAACTTTTCGTGACTTGCTAATAACAAAAACTTTGATGATAGTAACAAAAGGTATGATTTTTAAGTCACAAATAATAAAAATGACATTAATTTATGAGTCACAATTAATTTTGTGATTTACAAATTAGGAAAATCTTGTGACTTGAAAGATTAATTATGACAATATAAACAGTGACCCTTATTTACAAGTCACAAGATCAATTGTGACTCATAAATTAATGTCATTTACATTATTTGTGACTTAAAACCATGCATTTTATGACTTAAAATCAACTTATTACCATATTCACCTGTTTCATGTCATAAAAAATATACTGTAGCAATTTTCTAGAGTTTTGTAAAAAATATACTGTAGCGATTTGATATATGCGAAATAAAAAAGTAACTGAAAAATATATTTGCGAAAAACATAGAGATTTTTTGGAAGAAAATTCCTTTCCAGAGAAGTTTAAAGTTTTTTAAGATTTACACTCATTTGACAAGCTACGAAAAGTATGTACCGGACCCCAAAATGTAGAACCACGTGATGATATTTATGTACTCCGTTTTGATGTACGAGTTATGAAGCAAAGGACGCTATATCCTCAAGGCAAACCATTTATTGGCTTCTTATTTGTATGTTCGTTTTATAATACTTAAAAAAAAAAAAAGAATTCTCAGTAATCAATCAACGATCTAGATAAGGTTTTAGCCAAGCACATCTCTACTTTTCTTCTAATTTTTTCTCGTTCTTTATTTCACACAAAAAAAAATGATATTTGTTTCGGCGTTTGAGGTGATGCGCTACAACTATTAATTCGAAATTTCGCAAACAGTTAAAAAAAAAAAATCCTAATACATAGCCCTACTGCATCATTTGTTCTTTTGCCTCTTTAAGATAATCTTAATGGTTGACATTTGATAGTAAACCGTACCATATATGTTCATTAGTGTCCTACTTGTGAATAGTTTTCAAAGTTATTATGCAGATCTTGTGTTTGGATAGGAGATTATTTAAAATAATTTTTTTAAATAAAAAATACTATAGTATTTTTTTATGTGATGCATGTGAGATAAAAAAGTGGTAAAAAGGTATGTTTATGATACAAGTAAATAAAATTATACAAATAATAAACTATCCAAACAAACCAACTAGCACTATATTTAAAACTTTTGCAAGGCATGAGTAGAGTAGATATGGATGATAAATATCTTTAGTGAGCTACATTTACGACTTGCAACTAGGGTGTCAATCGGGTCAAAAATGGATTGGCAGGTCAGGTTAAGATCGAGGTATAACAAGGAACCTGTTGACTCGAATACAATCCGCCAACCCGCAATGGGTCAGGATATTTGACCTGAATCTGAAATTTTCGGATTGATAGGTTGATGAGTCACTCGAGTGATTTGATATAACCTGAAACATAATTTCAATTTACTTATTTACCACTATAGTTTCCAACAAACCAATTTTGCACAAGGCTAATTACATAATCAAGTAATAAAAATCTCCATAAACAATCCCAAACTAGAACTGAAATAAATTAAAACACTGTAATAGTGTTTTATTCTAAGCCAAATCTAAAATAAATTAAGATACTATAAAAGTAGAAAATAATATAATACATTATTTGTCCAAATATAATAATTCCAACTTCACACAAGTTAAACAAATTCATTTAGGATTAAGTGATTAATGCTTTTGGAGAAAAAAAAAAGAATAACGTAGTTTAGTGAGATAAAATATTTTTATATTTATTAAATTATTTTTAATTCAAAAATAAGCTATTGGGTCAACCCTTGGATGATCTAAATTCGACCTTTTTTTTTGTGTTCATCGGGTTCGACTTGCTTCTGATTTGAACCCACAAAATCTTCACCCAAACCCATTAATTTCGTATTATATTAGTATCGTATTTTTAGATCGCGTCCAAAATTATCACCCTTACTTGCAACTAGACAGTTGTCCGTAAGAAAACAAAATCACCCGCCTCCTGAGAAAAGGGAAAAAGAAATGCCAAAAAGATAGCATGTACAGTGATCTGTAATGTAACGTTATCTAAACCTTAAAGAAAAAATGTAACGTTATTTGAAAAATTCAGAGAGTTTGTCCATAAGTGATCATGCATGTCGAACATGCTATACATTCTTATCTTAACATCATGGTTATTACTATCAGTAACGTAATTAAGTTTGTCTTGAAGGGAAGTTAGGTCAAAATATCATCAACGATATGCTTATTAGAAGCTTAAGGACTGGAGAAAAGCTATTTAGCCTGCCTCTATAAATTCCAGTCCTCTTCCATTATCTGTCTTCAAATCCACATCTACCATCAACCCTCTTCCAAAATATCCAACCTCTTTCCCCCTCTCCCCCCCCCCTTCCATCTCCTTCTCTCTCCCATCCCCGATCCCCTCCTCCGCTCTTGCTCAGTCATACAGACATAAGATGGATAAGAAACCATGCAATTCTCAAGATGCTGAAGTAAGGAAAGGGCCTTGGACAATGGAAGAAGATTTAATCCTGATTAACTACATTGCAAATCATGGTGAAGGTGTTTGGAACTCACTGGCACGATCTGCTGGTAACCTCATTCATTTTACATATATATATGTTTTTCATTTTTTGAGCTAGATATATATGTGTTAAGAGACAAAACTATTTATTACTTTAATCAAGAAACCCTAACAAGGGAATTTGTTCTTTTCGAAGGCCTCAAGCGTACAGGGAAAAGTTGCCGTCTTCGTTGGCTTAATTATCTTCGACCAGATGTAAGGAGGGGAAATATTACACCTGAAGAGCAGCTCTTGATCATGGAGCTGCATGCTAAATGGGGAAACAGGTAACATCTCATATTAGGGTTTGTGAGGTCTGTATTGAATTGTTATGCAAAGAAACGTGACGGTTCTCGTCCAAGTTTTCTTGTGTGTCTTGACCTTTGCATCGACTAACAAGAGCGACTGAATAGATCTCCCTAAGAATTTGGGCTACTGGTGCCTGTTCTCAAGCCAACAAAAATTCATAGAGTTAGATTTGGAGTGAAAAGCCGATGAAATGAACATGTTTTCCCCTTACTTTTGCAAGAGAATGGCTATATATGGAAGATCTTCAAATTCAAACGTTCATATATATTACTCGTGGCTGTCAGAATTCAAAAGCTTTATTTCAAAACCCAATATATGGACAATCTTCTTGTACTTCGTCAGACAGAAGTCACACGGCTAAAATTTTGAGTTGAAAGCGAGCAAGCTCTCTTAATTGATTATGGTCGTGTAAGGATCTTAGTAGGCCATGCTAAAACCTTAATTAGTTCGGTTTGTAAATAGATAGAAAGCTTCTTTATAACTTTTAATTGGCCAATACATGGCTTGAGAAGAAAATTCTAGGATAACAAATTCATACAAATTCGATTAAAACATCAGCTTTCTGTCGAAATGACAACATTAAGAATCTAATTGGATTTATTAACCGTATATTTCTTGCCTTTTTAAGATCATCTAACCTTTTTAATGTGATTCATCCCAGTGATACGATCAGAAAGTTGAAAAGGCCGTATACTAGATATGGAGGTTCCGTACTGAATTTGCATCTTTGTAGCATTTTGTGGAGAACACGTTTTAAGTGTAGAAAAATGGCATGACACTACTACATAGTTGATGAAACTAGTACTATGTGCATTTGATGAAAATGGCATGATACTACAACATAGTTGATGAAACTAGTACCATGTGCATTTGAAGAAATTTTCTTCTCAATAATAGCTGTCGAAATATGATACTTCTACCACAGATAATAGCTGTCGAAATAGAGCATGTTGTGAAATGCAAACCAAATAGAGCACGTTGGGAAAATGCAAGTTTCTATTTTAAGGTGAAGCCTTTTCGTTGATCACATGTTGCCCCTTCCTAGTATAGTATCAACTGAAACAAAGCAGCTCCTAGTTGCATTGTTTGAAGCTGACATCTACCCTATCTTTTTGGCTCTTGAAGGTAAAGGGGTCGATAGTACTTGATAGGAATTAGGAATTCCGCACGAGTCAATATTTGCGCATGGGGTTTGATGATGTCGTGTTCACAGCTCTAAATTCATTGTGCACAGCGTCAGTACACTTATCCAGCGTGAAAGTCTGAGCGTAATATTGAGTCGCGGCCTAGCGGGTGAGTGAGGTTTTTGACAATGACAAAATAGTTGTACTGCTAAATCTACAAACGGGTTGCTCAAATAATTTTTTTTTTTAAAAAAAAAAAAATCTACAAATGGGTTTGCGATGGTGAAGATTTATGTTGCAACTTTTCGAGAAGAGTAACCTTGAGTTGGGGGATAAAAACTGAGACTGAGTAGACACAGAAAGTGCACTATTACTGACCGGGAAACTCACGACATAGGAGCAAAGAATATTGCTGTTGTAACAATTTAAGAGCTGTTCAGTATCAACTGGAAACGCGCACAGAATTGATAGTTCAAAGACACCTAAGTATTGGGATTTCAAAAAAGATGGGCTCTTTTTTTTGTTTCTTTTTGGAAAAACTTAACCTTCAATTCTTGTTGAAAACTAAACCTAATGGTGATGGGGCTCGATGATGGTATGCCTCGAGTTGCTTGGTGGTCGATTTTCCGACTGGAAGAGTTCAACAGCTAGCAATGCATTTTTCCTTTTTCAATTTGGTTGTGGTGGATGGCCGGTGGCTGGGATGCTTCTCATGAAATCTTTTTGCATCTCCTCCAAAACTATAAACTAGTTGAGTTACTAGCCGGTTGATCGGGTGTTCTTTTTTGGTTTGAGAATCAAGTGTTGAAACCTTCCAATTTATATTCTGCGGGGGTTTGCCTTTAAGTAAAACTTCGATTAATTGTGAAGGCCACAGAACATGGAGAGCTTAGGTTTCAAAACCACGAAACGTGTAAGAGTTGGAGTCATTATTCTCGTAACTGATCCGAGAAATTATAAGTTGGTCGGGGCCACACGGCATTGCATGCATGGTAGAAATTCAATTTTCGGCTGAACTACGTACGTGAAAAAATTCCCTTGTTAGCAAGAATGAGATGAACAAAACTTTTACCAACACTTGGACTTATTTAGTAATGAAATCAAAATCGCCATGATATATGCATGCGTTGATCTTTACAGTATGATTAAAACTTGCTAGCTAGCACCTGTTTACAAAAACGAAATGTAGAACATTATTATTAATTACATCTTCTTCTAGCTAGTAGATATATATATGATGAGTATATAGAATCTGGTTTGAGTATTCAGCTGTTAATTAATTGTTATGTGGCGAAGGTGGTCCAAAATAGCAAAGCATCTTCCCGGGAGAACAGATAATGAAATTAAAAACTACTGGAGGACTAGAATCCAAAAGCATATCAAGCAGGCAGAAACTTTCGCCGGGCAAGGCTCTGAGCATGCTAATGATCAAGCAAGCACCAGTCAAATTTCCACAACTGTAGATGCTGCGGAAACCTACTCCCCACCCTCCTACTCCGGGAATATGGAGACTTTTCAAGGCCCTTTTCCCACTGAATCAAATGAGAACCTTTGGAGCATGGAGGATCTCTGGTCAATGCAACTACTTAACGGGGACTAAACATAAATTGCTTCCCCCCAATATGCATGCATGCATGCATGCATGATTCTCTAGTACTGTAGTATAGCTAGCTGTTGAAGCCACGTACCAAGGTTAGTATAATTAATACCTATTTATGCTGGTGACTATTTAAATATTGACTGTAATATGATGATGAACTTAATTAATGGGAGTATCTTTCTTATATATCCTGTGAATTAATATGACATACAATCCTCCTAGCCTCCTTCAAAGCACTTTAATTTCCCCCCCCCCTTTCCGTTTTTATGTTGGGGCCGGGGAGTTGGGGTGGTTTTTAGGGTAAGATGTGCAGCTAATTAAGGTCGAGCTATTGTGAATTTGAATGCTTATGATCGATCGTACCGTTGTTATGCTCGTGTTCTTTTCATTTGTTGCATGCATTAATTCATGTTGGGTGCCAGTTTCTTCAAAGCCTGCACGACGACAACCCTACCTACATTATATATACCTATGTATATATGTAGGAATCCATGCATGGAAGTAAGAATACACTACTACTATCTGGTTAACTCTACTGAAGAGTGAAGGGCAATTACGTACTCAAGCCGGCCCCCATTCGATCATGATGATCAAACAAATACCGAACTCGAGTCACAGGAAATCGAAACGTGGAAAAAAGAAGTAGAGCTCATTTTTGGCAAATTCAATCTTTGCTTTTCCCTATTTAGCTAACCTTTGCGCATGGCTTTTCAACACACAAGTTGGACGCGAACCTAACCACTGGGAGCCAGTGAGGAAGCGTTCACATGATGGTTCCTCTAGTTGCTCTTACCCTTTTCAACAATCTTTCTAGCTACTAGGTGTTTTGCGAAGCCTCTTGTTTGGGTGGATGTATTATTATTATTTGATTGCGTGGTTGCGTATGTATCTCATTACGCCAAGCCAACCATATATTTGTTGGCAGGACAATGGATATATGTGGAATTAACTTAATCAGCTGGCCGGGGCAGATTATCTTCGCGAGATGACTTAGAATAAAATGAGGACGTGAGAATAGAAAATATTATTGTTTTATGGGGGAAATGAAAAAAGAAAAATAAAGGTTTCAAATTGAATAATAAGAATTAACATTCTAGCCTTGAGTTTATCTAACTAAATTTTCAAAATGACCAAAGAACTCTGCCTCCAAGTCACGGGGTAAGAGGGATCGATGGAAAAATATGGTACTCCTTTCGTCCCAATTGTTATTGTGTCATGTTTCGAGAATTCAACTTTTTAAAAATAATGATCTGATCGTGATATCTATGTTTCTCTTTTTAATTGTATTCTCACAAATTTAAAATTTGAATTTAAATGGTATCATGCATATAATCAAAAAGAAAAAATTTATAATAAAAAAAGATTAAAAAGTGTTTTAACTTTCTCAATATTTGACGAATATTTTCAGACATTTCAAAACTAAAAGTATAATAATGGAAGGGATGGTGTAGAATTTAGTAGGTAGACATGGAATTCCGAAGAATGGAACTGCCAGTGCGGTGTTATGCGGGAAAAAGGAATTTTGGTGGGGGCTTTCGTCGTGCCAAAGCGATACGAAATAGGCAGCGTTAAATTTGGGCCCCCTGTTTTGCGTCACATGTTTAAAGTGCGGAAATCTTGAGGAGAGAAGTCCCACGTGAAAGGTAAATAAGAGTCACATGGCGGGTCGGCTATGGGTACAAAAGACACCATGGGTTATCAAGCCATTTGAGTACATCACGTGGCCTTTAATTGGTTCAATCAGATCTCTTCTTCTGTTTGCCATTCCAAAACTTTTTGTTGGCCGTTACGGATTCATCGCGGGCGTTTGAGTTATTGATTATGAATACTGGGAGTACGAAAAGTTATCCGTTGATCCAAAAATTCGCGAGAACTGATTCGAGTCATTTAAAAAATATATATATAGTGTACTCAACTTATATTATTTGATCGAGTCAGAAAAAGGTTAGATATTCGCATTAATGCGAGACACATTCCAGTCAGGGGATTAAAATTCGCGAGTACTTGATCCGTCTCTCATTTTTAAAAAAATATATTTATAGAAATATTATTTTTAGAGTTAAATGAGTATTTTTATTGTGCAAATTACACTTCGAATATAAGCGTCTATAATTTGTTTACAATATTCATTTACAGTTGTTATGGTCTTTTTTTTTAGAAAAAAAAAGTTTAATCGGCGTAGAATATGTATAAAATAAGGGCAATGCTTATAACAATTTTCAATTAGTTTTGGATTTTTTTTCTTTTTCTTGTATTCTTCTTTCATGTTTGTTTCTTGACACGGGACTTTTTTTTTGTTAAAATCTATATTGAATCTTAAAAGCATATATAAAATATAAAAAATTAGTATAAATTATTGTTTAAAACATTAAATGATGAGAGGGGCGAAGCAAGTATTCGCTGATCTAACCATTTTCTAACAGGTACCTGATCATCAAGTTAACTATTGATATGTGGGGCAATTAAGGGTCAGAAAAAAGACAAATGTCCCATGTGATGGATACCTAATTCGTGCCCACTCCTAACGAATACAATTTCTTTGGTTTGTCAGATGTGGGTTGAGCCTCACTTTTTTTGGATACTCTGTGCTTTTTAATATCTTATTCTTCTTTTTTCCTATAAATATCCATTTTTGAAAATAGATTTTTCTAACGTTAGGACACCCATTAACAAATATAACATTCCCTTAATCTACCACACACACACAGACACACACACACACATATATATATATATATATATATACTAAAAATTATTATCCTCCCTTATCTTTATATACTTTCTCTATTTAATCTTGCCTATCCTCCATCGTATTTATTTACTTTTCCTAATTAATCTTATATTTCAAAAAACATAACACCTGAAATATATTTTAAGACAAACCGTAATATATTTTTACATCAAATTACATAGGAGTTTCTTCTTTTCTTTTTGAAATCTATACTATCTATAAAGCCTAAGGAAGGGTTTAGAGTTTACATTTATCGTCACTTTATAAACTTTCTGCTTTACTCTTATAAAAACTACATTTACTTTAATTACCTATAACTACCCATAACTATTTTTACTTTTAACTATTTAAATATATGTTTTCAACATAACTACCCATAAACATGATAATTACCAAAATAAAATTATTTTATGAAAATTATTAAAAGATTAAAGTTTGCTTTAGTAATAAAAATTTTATTTAAAATATATAATCGTAAATATTATATATTTTTTGAGTGCACGTACATTGGGTGTACATTAAGCACTGGTATTAAATAACTATGGATACCCCAATTAGTAATCCAGTCCCCAGGCTTGGGGGGGATATCCTCTTGAAGGGCGGGTTTGGATTTATGGGCTTGTGTCTGAAAATCCACCGATTGAATGCTTCCAGCTCAACATCACTGAATAACATAATGCTTCGATTGTAGCCAAAAAGTATTGATGCTTCAGTAAATTTTGCCAATGAGCAAAAGTAAACCTTTTTTTCTTTTTGATTAATCAACAAATATTTTTTTTTAAACCCTTTCTCCCAACTGTGGACACTAGTACTAGCAGTAGCAAAATTTTGCGGCAATCCAGGTTCCAAGCATCTAAGTATGTCAAAATAATTGTAATGCGGGCTGGGCTTTCCTCATCGGCCTTCTCTCAATCACTAGTCCGTGAATCAGGCTCAAATCACTGCCTTCCTGTAACCCTTACTCTCACTCCAACACTTAATCCATGAACCATTACCCAAACTTTTACTGCAACAATAACGGCAGTAGCCAAATTTAATGCTGAACCCGCCCTTCCAAACCATCGTAATTCATCTCTTCTAATGACCCCCACCAATCCCCGCTGATTCCAGGATTGTTCGCTCAGCCTCCGTCCACTAGTCAAATAATTCCACTAGTATCTGGGCTTTGCCAACTAATATCACTACAAACTAGAATTTTGGTTGTGCCTTAACACGATTTTTTTATTATGCATTTATATATATAAATAATTGAAATATAAAATTAATAATATTTCTACATGTTCATTCATATTAATTTAAAAAAATTAATGTTTTTAAATGTTCAATTTTTTACTAATTTTTAAAAACTTTTTATTTATTGTAAATTTATACAAATACCAATAATTTAAATATAAAAATTAACAATAGTTCTACATGTTCTTTCATGTTAATTTTAAAAAATTAATATATATTAAATGTTCAATTATTTGCTAATTTTTAAAAAGTTGTTTACATACTTTTATTATAATATGATAGTATACATCAAATAATATACTCCATATCAAAAATTTGGTAGATATTCTTTTTTTTTTTTATAAATATTCTTTTAGATAATTTAAATTTTTATAGTGACCATAAACATAGAACTATATATTCATATTTAATTAACTGGCAAAAGATTTGACAACCCATTTTTCTTCGTCAACAAATATTCAGTTTCCAATAATTTTGATAAATCTATCAGCGAAACAGTTAATTCTTTTTTTACACTAAGTTAATTCAAAATTAAGAGAAAAGATGATGAACAATTTGAATACTAATCAATGATATGGTGGTGAAAGAGAGCTAGTAATTTATGAGATATGTAAAATTTCAATAATTGTGATTTAAAAAAGATTTTACTATACTTCTATGTAACAATTTGGTAGAAAACAGATATCATTAAGATAAGATTATGGTGGTGAAAGGATGTAATTTATGGGAACATAAGATTTTAATAATTGTGATTTAAAAGGTTTTACTATACTTGTATGTAATAATTTGGTAGAAAGCAAATATCATTATGATAAGATTAGTTATTTTAAAACGATTTTAAAATTAAAGATAATTTTTAAACATATAATATAATCATTGTAATAATTTGATAGAAAGCAGCTATCATTAAGATAAGATTAGTTGCTTCTTAAAGTTATTTTAAAATTAAAAATAATTTTTAAACACATAATATAATCCAAATAAGATTAGTGCGGGTATATAATATATTAGTGCTACAGTACTTCCTTGCACCCTCTTCTTTCCAATTTCCATAGCTTATTGCGTCTGCAGGACCTACGATTGCACAGTCCCCACCAAGACTTGAAGCTTAGCATTTGATCCTTCAAAGTAGAAAAGGTTTCTTGCGCACCATGCATATCTTATAATACAGCAACCCCATCTTGAAATAGAATCTGGGAATATGAATTTAACGGCATAACGCAGTATTGCATGTTCGATCATAATAAATGCCACTTCTACACAATTGCAAATAAAATTTCCTAGATAACATGGAAATACGATTGCAGATTTGCTGTGATAAATCCAATCCACCTTTAAAATCCTATCACATCTAATCTTAAATTCTTTTGCTCTAACAGCGGGCTGGAATAATGTTCGGAAGAGGAACAGAAAAATGAAAGAGAGTATTATTTCTTGCGAGGATAACATTGAAAAAACAAAAAAGGGACGAAATCACTGGAGAATCCATCCATCATTCCTAAATCACGAAGCTAAGAAGCAACTTTGATCCTTTTTTTTTTCCCATCCCCAGGCCCAGTTATATTATATCTAAACGAGATCGTTCTTCTTGTTCTCACTTTCCAGTCTCTTTCTCTTTCTCTCCTCTAACTCTTTGGCCGTGGACCTCCACTTGAAAAAGGTGCCAAACAATTCCTCCATTTCTTCGAGTCCTCTACCCCGCGTCTCAGGAAGCAAGGTAAAGAAGAAAATAAAGGCCAGCAGTGCAATTCCCCCGAACAAAAAGAAGGCCCCGCCTATGGTAATGGCCTTGGACAATGACAGAAAGGTCATCAAAATGATTCCACTGGACAACCTGTTGGCGCCCGCCGCCATGGCGCCTCCCAGAGCCCTCAACCTTAAAGGAAAAATCTCCGAGCTATAGACCCAAGCAACGGGGCCCATTCCCATCGAAAAAGTTCCTACACTGCCTAATGTGCATAGAAAGCAAAAAGCTATGGCCCAGGTTATCTTCTCATTCGGATGCCGATCAATCACCGTCAATCCAACGGCCAGTCCCATCGTCGAACATACGAAACCACCGCTGCTCGTTAACAGCAATGCCCGCCGTCCGATCTTGTCCAGCCAGAATGTAGATACCAGGATGCAGATGGTCTTGGTGACTCCAACGGATATGGTGGCGAGTAGCCTATCATTGTCGGTCTTCATACCAGCTTTCTCAAAGATTTTTGGGCTGTACATCACCACCGAATCTATACCGCACGCCTGCTGGAAGAAACATAAACCGATGCCAGCAATCGTAATGTGCAAAACTGCCCGCGTGGGATGGAGGAAGATTTGCCTCCATGCACCTCTACCGCCGGTTTTGCGTTTGGGAACCTCTACGACGCCGTCGGGGTTGTCCTGGGGGATGCCAGCAGCCTCCTTAATGTCAGCTAACCTCTCTTGGGATTCTTGTATAGATTCCGAGGTTTTATCTAGAACTTTTCTAGCATCCCCTACTCTGCCTTGCATCACCAGCCACCGTGGTGATTCCGGCATGATGAAGCCGCCCACGATCAGCATCACTGAGGGAATCGCACCAACTCCCATCATGAATCGCCACCCCAAGTTGGTGGGAAGCTTGGCAAAAAAATAGTTGGACACATATCCCAGCAAGACACCTGTTCAGTTTATTAGAAAGAAGAAAACATCAATGATCAATCATTCAACTATTGGCTGAATTTTAAGTTTCAATTAATGTCCTCGGTCATGCAACAAAATAAGTAACAATTTTCTTCCCAAATCTTGCCACTTAATTCTCATTTTCACGGGTTGATATGAGAAAATAATAATGATGATGATGATGATATACCACACTTTGAAGGCCTAGGGGTTTTGGAGATAAGATAGGAGATAGCGAAGGAGGGTTAATTACGAGTTAGTTTCCTTTTTTGGTAAAGCAAAAATGAGCTAAGTGTTGTGCTCAATTAGAGTCATGAATTAAAAGTTGAGTTATCTCCTTTTTTTCATTTAAAGCATAAAATAAGATGAAGGAAAGATATTAAACGGACATTTTTGGCCTTGTTAGACGATTCGACACTTACCGTTGAAATTATAGATAAATGCTTAAAAGGAAACTATTATATATGTTAACGCCATAGTCATGTGTCTGATATCTATTTCCCTAAAAAGGTCGATATTTTAGACCTTTGCAGCTAAAAATAAAATCGTTCAAAAAGGTGCAATGATGATCAAGAATCTAACACAGTGAGCTAGGTTAATATGCCCGACTACGTAGCCTACATTTAAAGCTCATATTGTAGCCAAAATTCAGCTTCAAGTCACAAAACCACAACCTACTCAGTCAAACAAGATATGAGATTTGGGATCCCTTATTTCTGTTTGTGAGTTTTGACCTCAAAATGGTTGATACAGAATTTCAGACCCAACCAATAACGAGTAAAATTTCTCAGTGACAACATTAGGTGGCTCCTTCGGGTTCAGGTTATCATGACAAAACAATAACACTTCCGTAATAAAAAAAAAAAAAAAAGGAGAAACATACCAAAGTTGATAAACACTTCCGTAAAAGAAGTGATAAATCCCCGAGCTGATCTCGGAGAGATCTCGGCAGAATATACAGGTGCTATCATCATGGCAAAGCCAACTCCGATCCCAGCAATGAAACGGCCAATCATAAGGAAAGAATAGGTGGTGGCAAAGGTCATTAAAAAGGCCCCGGCCAAGAAGATTACTCCGGCGATAACTATGGTGTATCGTCGGCCAACCCAGTCGCACGTCCTACCGGCGATGGTTGAACCCACAAGAGAATAGACGTTGATGGTTCCCACCAAAATTTCTACTCGGACATCGGAGATTTTAAGGTCCCTCTTTATGTAGATCATTGCTCCACTCATCACTCCCGTATCTGCATGTGCATGGATCGCCAAACTTATTAGTAGAGTACCGTCTTCATGAACCATATATATAGATGCAGCCAATCAAAGAGCAAAAAGAACGGAACAAACTTGTTGATCTTACCATAACCAAGTAGGACTGATGACATGCAAGCTAAAAGAGCACAAGCCAACGCAAATGTGTTTCTTTTGGGCTTTGGAGGAGGACCATAATCTGGATTAGATGACTCAAGTGCCCCAGCAACAGCTGGATTTTGCAGGGAGTCTGCCATGAGGAGTCAACAAGGAGTAGGAGGAGATAGGAGGAGAAAGACGGAGAATGCTTTTTGTGCCGGTGATGTGAAGACGTTTTAAGGACTGTGGTTGTTATAAAAAAAAAAAAAAAAAAAAAAAAAGGGACTGTAGTTTGCTGTTCTGGTTCCCGTAAAGGCAGTAGAACTTTTGTTACAGTGTATATATATAGAAAAGTTCTATCTTAATATCCCTAGATCTCAGGTAGTTCTACCACATAAGATTGAAGTCACGTGATCATCTTTTAAGATTTTGGATAACATTTTTTCGCGCGATCATATTTCAAGAGTTTGGATGATATTTTTGCACTTTAAATTTTCATCAGAATGCTGCTAGACTCTGTCAAACCATAATAGATTCCAAGACTCTGTCAATATTTACAAAATGACTTCCGACTTCCAAAATTAATCCAAAAATCTGATCATCTAATTTTATTATTGAAAACGGAACCAAACTGTGCTGACTTTAGTGGATCAAACCAAAATAGAGACATTCAGGAGAAACTCAACCCAATAAAACAAACCCAAAATACCGTTTCGTACAACCAAAATCAATGAAAATCACTTTTAGACAAACCCTTTGGTTAGTACAGACGGAGTCCATGTCCATCAAATGAAGCCTTTTGTCCTTGGTGCTACAAAAGTCCGTTAATCCATCCCTGCAAACACCTTGACGCAGTACTAGTGCAAAACTTGACAGGAGGAGTATCTATTTGTAATTCAACTAGTACAAATTATTCGATCCTGTGAAGCTAAAGGATTCACAATGAGAAAAGTTTTTTCCCACATATTTTCTACATTATTCCTAAGCCACCATAAGAAGCCCGAAGCCCCATCTGGTGTCAAGTGAGGCAAGAAATATGTGACAAGCAAATTGAACCTGAAACTAAACTAGTGAGAAAATTATCGTATAGTAACAGAATACTTTCTACATTTGCTAATCTATTGAGTACTAGCAACCGAATTGCAAGGTTTGGACCTTTCATTAAATTAAAAAGCTTGCACTCCCTTCGTTCTTTCAGTTCTTTGCTTTAAAAGAGAAAAAAAAAATGGAAATCTATCCGGTGCTCCACATTAGAGACGGATGAAAAATGGCAGCATGTTCAACGATCGTGGCTTCTTGATCCTTTTTAGTTCTGGCAACTATTAGGGATCAAAAGCTACATCAACGACAGATGATTATGATGGTGTTGGTCTGGTCAAGAAATGGTGATTATGACGGAAGGTATCCTTGCGAATTCTGAAGGTGTTCAAAGGGGAGACATATATATATATATATATATATATATATATATATGGGTTCCAATGGAAGTGCTTATAATGAACTTAGTGACGAAGGAAAACATACAAATGGGGTTAAAAAATTGGACCAAGTTTCTGTATGGTGTCAGGATAGAGGTTTTGTATACTAGCTAGCAATGATAAATATATGCCACTTATCTAAAAACTAATGTTCAATTTTAATATTAGATTACGTGACATATATATCCAACGCTGCTGCTGGTTTATACATGCATGGATAGTACGTAACAAAAGGATAGGAAGGATTGAAAGTAACCCAAGCTGGCGGCATGCTTGCCTCAATCAGTTTTACTCGCAAAATTATGGTGTGACATGATGAAATAGAGCAAACTGTTCAACTGATGAATTTTCCTCTCTCTCTCTCTCTTTTTTCTACATGTGAAGTTTTAAAATCTCCTTTAAACCTAAATAAATAGACCAATAAGTACGATAACAATGAAAGAAGATGAATTACCACAACAAATGCGATTGTTCTTTTTCATTGCTCAACAAGTTAGTGCGGAGGGGATTGCTTCTGTTTTTCATTTGGTTTCTTGGGCAAAGAAATTGTGAAATCAACGATCGATGCTAGGGAATTCATTTTTCATGGGAGTTCTACAAGCACTCAAACACTGTCTATATCGATAAGATCAAATTCAATGTTAGATATAAAATAAGAGACCAAAAGGAACTATAATATTTTCTGATTTTTTCAAGATTTTTCTCTATATTCATGCCTCATTTTTCCTGATATTTTCAACCCTTTTGAACCTTCTTTCGATATTCATACCTCGACCTTGATTCTATAAAAATATATATTAGATCTTTTATAGCGTTTAGGTCTAGGTAACCCAAGCTAGATACAAGCCCTACTCATTAGAGAAGAAGACCTGCTGTATTCACTTATCTACATTGGCACTATTCTTTTTTATTTTATTTTTTATAAGTATAAGTGGAAGATCTCGAATAAGAGATCTCTTACTTATACTTCCTCTCCCCGTGCCACTAAACTCATCTCTTCCCTTTACATTGGCACTACTTGATTCTTTATATTTGATTTATTGTACTAGACAAAAAAAAAACTATTTTTCAATATAAATGTTTTCCCTTTTTTTATTATTTTTCAAATTTGAATATGATATTGGTCTATGTTGGCTTTGTAATTTTTTTTTACCGCATCCATGATAGTTGATAGTTACTAAATACTCATATTATACTTGTATATTATATATTCGAATGTACAATTTAAAAAAAAATCTATATTTCATATATTTTAAAAATATTGTAAAAAATACCCATAGTTTTTAACTAATCATCTGAAATACATAGTATGCCTTTGACTTATTATACTTCACGAATTATACTTAATTTTTTTAAAAAAAAATTAAAATTTGAATAAGGATAATGAATTATTTTCCTTATTTATATAAAAATTAACAATAATACAACATAATTTAACTCTATATGTTCAAAAGAAATACACTTGCATCAATTTAACTCTATATGTTCAAAACTAATTTCTTATAAATTTATAGTTTTTTTCAATATCTTATCAACCCTTGCTCAAACCATTATACTGTACCAATCCTTATAAAAATCAACTCAAAGTAAGCAAATAAATCATTTTCCACTTTATCATAATCACAAAAAGTAAAAGATAAACAAAATTCAATTATTACAATTTACAAATAAAATATTGCATAGTCATCCAAAACATGAGTAAGAAAGAATGATGGAGAAAAGGGAAAAAGAATAAGGTGACTTTCGTTTCTTTTTTTTTTTATTTTATTTTTGGGCTCCATTTATTTAATACGTTGTGAATTATGTGTCAAGTGAAGGTTGATATAGTCTTCTTACAATTATTAGGGAAGGTAAATGATAATTTCTAAAATTTTAAGAGAGTCAAGTGACATTAAGAGGAAGCTCAAGGGAAGTTTCCAATATTATCCCTAATAGAAATCAAACCTGGTGAATTGAAGGTCCAAGGAATCTACTGTGATCTGGCCTCATAAAACATGTACAGAAGGGCATTTTCGTTAGCTCAAATATTTTAATGATCAATTTGATGAGTTTGATTAAAGTGAGAAGAAAAAAACGAAGTTACGCAACTTTGACCAAACCTTGAAAGGGAGTTCTTCGGATTAACCCCAATCCAAATTCCAATAACAAATTCTTACCCATCGTAATCCTTATCCAACCCTGAATGCATGGACATTGTTCCCAAGGCATTAGCCTTCTAGCGTTTCTCCCGAGACACGTGGTTGGCCATAACTGCCGGATCTCCTCCCTCCCATAAGGGCCCACCAAAAGAAACGCTCCAACCCAGCCCTTCCCTTCCCTTCCTCCCAAAGAGAAGTCCTGACTGGAGTGCATCCCAATCTCTTCTCACCGCCGAAAGCAGCTAGCAAAGCAACTACTAATTTTTATTGTGCTAGTATATAAAGGGCTGCAATCGAGCTGCTCGCGAGCTCGAGCTCGAACTTTGAGTTTAAAATATTAAACTTGTTAGCTTGCAAGTCGGCTCGCAAGTTCGAATATATATATATATATAATATTTTTTATTTTTTTATTTTAAGTATATATATTTTTTATTTTAAGTATATATATATTTATTTTAATAGTAAAATTATATATATATCATTAATATTTTATTATTTATTAAAAAAATATTATTTTATTTATTTTTTAAAGAATAAAATAATTATTGTTATTTTTTCGAACTCAAATTTTAAATTATCGGCTCATCGAGTTCGAATTTGATAAAATGTAATTGAGATTCGATTCGATTAACTCAAAATTCGATTCGACTCGACTCGTTTGCAGACCTGTAACGTTAAGGGAGCTCCCCCAATTTGACAACGGGGAGGGAGAAAACTCAAACCAACCAAAGCCTTTATTGTAGTACATAAATAAACAAACAACAATAAATTGGGGTCGGGGAGATAAAAATGCAATCTAAGTGGGGGGTGGGGGCAGTGTCCTCGCTCCTCCGTCTTGCACCGCCGCATATTTATCGAATCCAATCCAATAATAATTTATCTGCTCTCAACCCTTCTTTATCCATCCTTCCAAAAAAAAAAAAAAAAAACTCTTCTTTATCCATCTATATATATCTTGGCGAGTAAAACGGATGGATAAGCATTTTTTATAGTCTGCGAAAATCCACAATAAGGATGAAAAAATATTTGCGGTTGCACTTGCCCCAATAAAAAAATATAAGAGAGGCGGATTGAGAGTGGATCCCACCTGATAATACAACGGGGCCCAGTCCCAACTCTCGTCTCACGTGAGGAATAAGATGCTGGAGGCTGGACGAGAGCCGGAAGTTAGGAATCAGAAATTGACGAGTAATTGGTGTTTTTTCTTTCCAATTCCTTGAGAAGAGTGCGAAGAAAAGAAGAGAGTGCCAGCCACCAACCACACCATACTTTGCTGTCGTCATTCTTGAGGTTGAGGCTCCCGTACTCCTCCTCTATTCTTCTAGAGAGAAAGGAAAAAATAAACATTAAAAAAAGGAAGAGAAGAAGTGATCGGGTGGGTTAATTAATGTAATGAGTAGCACCTGGTAGTGTATTAGTGAGAAAAATGGGAAGGGCATTTGTGTATGTGATATTGGGAGGGGGAGTGGCAGCTGGGTATGCAGCTCAGGAGTTTGTCAAGAGAGGTGTTTCTCATGGTGAACTCTGCATCATTTCTGAAGA